TCTGTGTTAATTATTATCTCCATGGGTTTGAGTGTTCTTAAGGTTCTTTTTAAAAAATTTTTAATTAATTTGTTTTTTAATTTTTATGTGGTGTTGGGGATCGAGCCCAGTGCCTCACGTGGGCGAGGCAGGCGCTCTACCACTGAGCAGCCCCAGCTCCTCCTTAAGGGTCTTTTGTGGAGGCTTTAAAAAAAAAAAAAAAAAGTACCAACCAACCATTCCTCTTTCAAGCCGCAAATCTCTCTTCATTTTGGAACTGATACATGATTTAAGGGTGAAAGCTCTTTTGGATCCCTGAGAGAACATACCCCTTAAGTAATTGGATAGAAGTTGAATTTATTTACATGTGGAAGTAATCATTGTCAAGAACAAGGAAAAATATGTGACACCCCAGGAACAGTTTGTACATGACATGTCAAAACAGACAAAGGAAACCAAATGCATGTGAGCAGTAACTGAAGGAGGGCTGAATGTGCCCTCTCCTGTCTTCTGCATTGAGATTAACTGTGGTCATTACGTAACTGCTCCTGGCCATCTTCCTGGTTCTCATTTGTGGTGCTATTTCATTCTTGGTCAAAATTGATGATTGAGTGATTTCTCTTTTCTCCTTTTGGGAAATTCTCCTTACCCAATGTTCTTTAACTTGTATTTGAACTTTACCATCTGACCACGTTGCTATGACTAGCCCCACCCCCAGGTCCTCATGGGTCATTCCCCAGAATCTGCTTTATCCTTGATGTGCCAAATTCCCATCCAACTATTGAGGTTTTACATAATAACACAGTAAAGACTCATCCCCACAGATCTTCTGTTTGGAAAATCCCTCCTTCTGATTAGAGAGCGCAGGGGTGAGTCATTCGTAGAGGGGAAGATCTTACCATCTTTCTTTGGGTTCTCTCTCTGTCTCCTTTAATTGGATACCTCACAAAATGCAGGGGCAACTTTAAGAGCCTTGGCCCTAGGACCCATGGTAGCTGTGAACATCCAAAGGGCCACAGGCTGAGATTTGGGGGTGGATATGATTATTCCAAGTAAAGCAGGGCAGAGTCAGGCATGGGCACCAGGTCCTGACCTCCTCTAGAGAGATGGACACACACCAGACCAGTGGACAGAACTCTGTTGTGGAAGCTACATGGGAGATAAGTCTCATAGAGCTGTCTTACAGGGTTGTCGGAAGTATAGATGAAGTGGATAAGATTATCACCTCTCAACAGCAGTCTCCAGAGTCGGTCTCTTCCTTCCTTTTAGGTTCCCCACCGATGTCAGTTTTAGCTTCCTAACCACATAGTTCTGAATACATCACGTCCCACCTCAAAGGCTTTACATTATCTGAGGAGCTAATAGAACAAAGTTCCCAATCCCTATCCTTGTTTTGAGGGCTCCTCCCTATCTGGCCCCCATCCCGCACCTCCAGCTTCATCTGCTAAGAGTTTCCTTCATGGATCCCCTACCCCCACCCCACCCCACCATGCTCCAGCCAAACTGAGCTAGCTTGCTCTCTTCAGTCCCTCCTTCCTCCCATGTCCTCGCTCATGCTTGGAACTTTTCTTTTCCAAATCCTGCTGGTCATTCCAGTCCCTGCTTAAGTGCTGCCATCTCCTTTACCATTTCCTGTCACCTGCCTCAGCTCCAGGTTTCAGAATTATCTTTCTCCTTGAGCTTTAATTCTTTCTCTGAACTCTTGTCATGCTTACTCTTTTTTACGCTTTGTGTTATTTGAGTACACGACTTTTTCACCTCTTATTCTGAGTCCTTGGAGTTCTTCCTAAGCACTTAGCAAAGTACCTGATATGTTGTAGGCAGTTAGCGACTTTTGGGATGAGGAAGCCTGATTAAGAGGTGACAGATTCCTTGGAACTGAAAGGACAGGAAAGCAGCTGCTAGATCTGGAAAACAGGTGAGTTTCCTGATGCCAGACAAGAGCTTTTATGGTTCTTGTTGCAGTGCGCGCGACAGGTAAGGAAACTGACTGGCAGTCACTGTCATTAGGTGTTTTACATATGTTCACTCCTTCCTTCTCGGCAGAGGACATTCTTCCCTTACTACACTTAGAGTGAAATCCAAATTCTTCAGGTGGCCCTTACAGGATTCCTAAAATGGCCCTCTGTTTCCTTAGCCAGGCTCAGCATGGCACTAACTCTTCTCTTCTTCATCGTTTTCTTCTTTTTTTTTTTTTTTAAGAGAGAGGAGGGAGAGAGAGAGAGAGAATTTTTAATATTTATTTTTTAGTTCTCGGCGGACACAACATCTTTGTTTGTATGTGGTGCTGAGGATCGANTTCTCGGCGGACACAACATCTTTGTTTGTATGTGGTGCTGAGGATCGAACCCGGGCCGCACGCATGCCAGGCGAGCGCGCTACCGCTTGAGCCACATCCCCAGCCCTTCTTTTTTTTTTTTTTGTACTTGATATTGAACTCAGTGAGCCCACCCCCTGCTTTTTGATATTTTATTTAGAGACAGGGTTTTGCTGAGTTGCTTAGGGCCTTGCTAAGTTGCAGAGGCTGGCTTTGAACTCTCTTGTCCTCCTGCCTCAGCCTCCCGTCCAGCTCTTGTCTTTTTTTCTTGCCTTCCCTCCTCCACCCCTCCTTTAAATTTCACCCATGAATCCCACATTTGTGTTTTCCAAGGCACATTCCTATGAAATTTCATTGGATCTTACTTTCCATTATCTTTCATAAGAGAATAGAGGGAATGAAATGCCAAGAAAACCTGACAGTTTATCAAGTAACATCTTTGTGCACCACAGTGATGTCCACTGTAGGACTCACCTGTGCATGTTCCGAACAGTTTTCTTTTTTCTCTTTTGGTACTAGAGATTGAACCCAGTGGTTTTTCTTTTGAGACAAAGTATCACTAAGTTGCCGAGGCTGGCTTTGAACTTGGCAGTCCTCCTGCCTCAGCCTACAAAGTTGCTGGGATCACATTTACGTGTCACCTTATCCAGCCTGAAGTTTTCTTCAAGTAGTTTGCTAATCATACTCTGTTCAGAGTGTGCTAAGAGGTGTTTGTTGTCTGTCTTTGTTGAGAAACAAAATGTGGCAATTTTAATAACTACTGTGGGAAGGGTGACTGGGTGACTGTTGTATATTTTTAAAAAGTTTAACCACATGCTTGTTTTGTGTCTTTTTAAAGTAATTATACATATGTGTACTCTGGGGAGTTGCTATTTTTATTACTATAATTTTTTTCAAAAACAATCAGTTTGCTGCCATGGAGCATGCCTGTAATCCTAGTGGCTTGGGAGGCTGAGGCAGGAGGATCATGAGTTCAAATCCAGCCTCAGCAATAGCGAGGCGCTAAGCAACTTAGTGAGACCTTATTTCTAAATAAAAAATACAAAATAGGTCTGGGAATGTGGCTCAGTGGTTGAGTGCCCCTGGAAAATGAAGGGAAAAAAACTCCAAATACCCCTAATAATAGCCATTTGGGATTGCCATTTTAAAATAGGTTTTACCAAGTAACCTCATTCTCCAAATCAACCTCTTCTGGGATGGGGTGTTTCCAAATATGCACCTTTAGTTAATGTTGTTAATAAACAGCTCTTTCTCTGTGTATGAAGGTTATTCACTTCACTCCATGAGTAAAGTTTATGGATCATAAGTTTCTAAACTTAAAGAAAAACAACCAGTTTCAGTCAGTTCCTTGCTTAATTTCTAGAATACTTCTCCCAGAGCCCCATAGAAGTTGGTACACTTGAGTCTTTCTCAGCAAGGACAGTTAGGAAAAATAAAGGAAGTAGAAATACAGAGGTCGAGTGGGCAGGAGTTTGCAATTGGTTGGATGTGGGGGATGAAGATGGTGAGCTCAAAGATACATCAGCTTGCAAGGCATGAATGGGAGACTTTCTAAGAGATTCAGTTTTGGAATTGAAATTACTGGAGTCAAATCCTGTCTCTGCAATTTGTTAGCTGCAATTTGTTGGTTTGGGCAATGTTCTTAACCTCAGCCTCAGTTTTCTCTATTCCTACAAAATAGGAATCACTTAGCACCTATTTTGTTCTTGTTTTTTTGGCCATATTGGGGTTGAATTCTATGCTAGGCAAGTACTGTACCGCTGAGCTACATCCCCAGCCCCCCCTCCCTTTTTATAAGAGAGAGAGAGAGAGAGAGAGAATTTTTTTAATATTTATTTTTTAGTTTTCGGCAGACACAACATCTTTGTTTGTATGTGGTGCTGAGGATTGAACCCGGGCCGCACGCATGCCAGGCGAGCGCGCTACCGCTTGAGCCACATTCCCAGCTCTATCCCCAGCCCTTTTAATTTTATTTCAGACAGGGTCTCACCAAGTTTCCCAGGCTGGCCTCAAACTTGGGATCCTCCTGCCTCAGCCTTTTGAGTACTTGGGATTTCAGGTGTGCCTGGTTTAGCACCTACCTCATTTAGTTATTGTAGGGCTTAAGAGTGAGAATCCTCATACTGTGCTTAGCATGGTGCCTGAGTATTGTCCATTTTCAGTTATTAATGGTGATACTGTAGAGAACAGAGAAAAGGAGGAGCAGAGCAGGGAGAGGAATGAAGAGGATTTCTACTTGGACAAGCTGAGGGCAGTATACTCTGCAGAATCCAGAAGATGGAGATGTGGGCCTGCCCTAGACAGTAGCTTTCCATTTGTTCTCTGAAAGTTTCCTGGAAGGTCTCACAGCTCCCATGGTTTGATCCTGTGAAAAATGGTCACCTGAAAAAGCTTGGGTTGCTCTCCCTTAGCTCATTAGAGCGCGCTTGACTAACTGCAGAGTTTTTGTGTTTTTCAGCCGCTCTTGTCTGTCTGGTACTGGGCCCAAGGGTAGGGTGGGGCGAGCCAGGTAAGCCCACCTGTCATCTGGGCATCAACCTTGTTGCCCTTGTCTGTGTCCACACTGAAAGGTGCTCCTGTCTTGGGGACCCATGTCAGCTCCCTCAACAGCAAAGCCTAGTGTCGAGAGTAAAGCCGCTGTGAAATTAAACTCCATATGGTTCCTCTAGGTTTTATTATTATCAATTTTTTTTTCTTATTTCAGATCATCAATGCGGTGGTACTGTTGATTTTACTCAGCGCCCTGGCTGATCCAGATCAGTACCATTTTTCAAGTTCTGAACTAGGAGGGGACTTTGAGTTCATGGATGACGCCAGTAAGTACATCAGATAACAATTGTAGTTATTTTGGGATTTACAAGGGCAGGGAAGCCAGCTGCGTGTCCTTCCTATTAGGTTACAAATATTGATTCACAGGCCCCCTTGAGCTGATACTTGAGCTCTCTTTTCTTTGTTAAAAATGAAGTCAGTGGAATAATTTTTGTGCTGCCCATGTTTTTATCTTTGCTCTGAATTACTTTATCCATTTTTTTAAAAGTTATTATTTTGTTACAGACTTTTTATGTGGCCTTTTGACCGATTTTAGGAGAAGGAATCAATGGCAGAAAGGAAGATTAAATGAAGTATGGGTATCTCATTGTGCATTTCGGTATTTACCTCTCTTCCAGGAAATGATGATGTTCCATTCTAGAAAGTCTGTTGCTCTTTATTTGTTGAATTTGAGGCCTCTTTCCAGCAAATGGGCTGTGGGTGTGGGGAAAGTGGGGAGGAGGCACCAGCTCCCAGGCATCTGCAGCCTGAGCATTGAACACGGTAGTCATGCTGCATTCCAGCTGAGGGGCAAAGCTGTGCAGAATGCTAGACAGAAGATTGGGCACAAGTGTTTACATCATTTGGCTTTGAAAAATTCATGTGAGTTGGAAGAAGTGGCTGGAAGGCAAATTAAGGAGGTGAGAGTGTGGCCCAAGGTACAAAGATACAATTTAAGAAGAGAATGGGAACATTTGAAAGATAGGATTGTGGATTTTATTCTCAGAATGAGAAAAAGCTATTCAGTGCACTGCTTTTGGTAAATGCATAAAATGATATGTATCTTAAGAAGTCTTTTTTTTATTTGTTTTGTTTTTCCTGAGAGTGCATTTAGAGACTGACTGCAAGCACAGAGCCTGGGAGTTTGGTTTTGGGGCCATTTTTACAGTCTAGGTGGCACTGGAGATGGAGAGACAGAAGTTGGTAGTCTGAGCAATAAGAGAAAGGGAAAGATCAAAGATGACTCAGTCTCCAGCTTGACAAGATGACTGTTAATGTTAGTCTTTAGAGGTGAGGAAGTCAGGGGTCAGGAGATGGGAACATAACTTGTGGGAGAAAACTAGACTTAAGTGACTCAACCCAGCATCCTTATTAGGCATGTAGACTCTGTAGCTAGAAGCCAGTTTGAATCCCGATCCTGCCGTGTGTTAAGTTTACTAACCTTGATTTAATCACTTATCTTTGTGTGCCTTAGTTTCCCCCTCTGAAGGAACTAATAGAAGTTTCTACCTACTTAATGGGGTTGTAGGTGAAGATTAAGTGAGTTACTACATGAAAAGTGCTTCAGCAGCACATAGACCAATATTGGACCCATATAGCCAAGATTAGCATGGCTCCTGAGCAAAGAGGGCATGCATATTTGTGAAGTTTCCTTATTAAAAGAAAAGGAAACAAAGTGCTCAGAATGGGGTTTGGCCCATAGTTAAGTACTCCATACATTTTACTGTCTGTTATTATTTAAATTTGTTGGGATTGAAACATGTTAGTTGTCCCAAAGTAGATAGTTCAAAGAGGACATCAGTCCAAAAGAGGCATTAGCATGAAGGAGAGAGGAAAGAGAAAGGGGAAGGAGTCCCAGGATAAGCCCTGAAGGGGCCCCAACTGTAAGATCAAGAGGAGGAGAAACAGCAATAGGTAGCAAATAAATGAAGACCAGGAAACATGTTTTTTCATAGCAAGGATTAAGAATGGGGGTGGGGAGGGCGGTGGTGGAGCTGCACATGCCTGTACTCTCAATAGTTTGGGAGGCTGAGGCAGGAGGATCACCAAGCTCACAGCCAACCTCAGCAAAAGCAAGTTGCTAAGCAACTCAGTGAGATTCTGTCTCTAAATAAAATATAAAATAGTGCTGGAGATGTGGCTCAGTGGACAAGTGCCCCTGAGCTCAATCCCCAGCAACCCCCACCCACTAAAACAATAAAATAATAAAATAAAAAGAATCAGGGGCATTATGTTATCCTGGAACCTGGGACCTTGTCAGTCAGACAAGTTTTCTGCTGTAATATTTATCCCCTTATTTTTAATAACTGTTGTTAATCTTACAAATTCTTCCAGAAAGGCTAATGAGTTCCATTAATATCAAAATAATATCTCTTTGCTTTCCTTCTCTTTGAGTTTAAAGACTATGTAAAACTACATATGAAATGTTTGATTGATATTTAAAAGTAAATTATCTTATACTATATTCAGGAGGAGGATTCTCCTTCTAAGGTCAATGAGGTTAGATAAATCTAAGTTTTGAGTGATAACACTGTGGTTCTATCTGGATCAAATGATAACACTGCATGTCTTGTTCTGACTGCCAGAGCATAAGCTGGGGAATGACTATGTGACAGGATAAGCTTAATGTAGCTGCCTTCAAAGGCTTGCTGGTGCTTAAGACTTTAAAATAGTATTTGGGGCTGGGGATGTGGCTCAAGCGGTAGCACGCTCGTCTGGCATGCGTGCGGCCCGGTTTTGATCCTCAGCACCACATACAAACAAAGATGTTGTGTCCGCCGAAAACTAAAAAATAAATATTAAAAAAAATTCTCTCACTCTCTCCCCCTCTCTCACTCTCTCTTTAAAATAAAATAAAATAAAATACTATTTGTTTTGTAATGTCCTGGATATTAATTCCAGTGCATTTGAGGTTTCTCTTGTGTTTCATATATCTGAAAAGATTAAATGAATAGTTGGTAATTACTTTTGAGACTATCGTTTAAATCACAAAGTTAAGAAGGTACAGAAGAGGGCTGGGGATGTGGCTCAAGCGGTAGCGCGCTCGCCTGGCATGTGTGCGGCCCGGGTTTGATCCTCAGCACCACATACCAACAAAGATGTTGTGTCCGCCTAGAACTAAAAAATAAATATTAAAATTCTCTCTCTTAAAAAAAAAAAAGAAGGTACGGAAGAGTAGATGTTCACTTGAGTGAATCTATTTTTGAAACCTCTTCCCTTTTGCATTTCCTTTCCATATGTTCTGTTCTCCTTTAATAAGCTTGTAGGTATTAGGGTAGCTGGCACAAATATTCACAAGAGACATAGCTCTAAGTTCAAGTAAATGTTTATTGACAGAGAATGTCTGCCAGGCGCCCTTCTGCCAGGCGTAGCAGGCAGAGTCACTTGAATAGAGGTTTCATATCTTTTTTAACAGGAACAAGAGCAAGCTGACCTTGGGTGCAGCAGGCTAGAATTGACTTTGGGTACAGATGGCTGGGTAACAACAGATTTTTGTATGTAGGGACCTTGATGGTGGGGGGAAACAGGTTATCTTAAGTTTCTTTTTCTTTCCTTTTTATTTTTTTTTAGAGAATTTTAATATTTATTTTTTTAGTTTTCGGCAGACACAAAGTCTTTGTATATGGTGCTGAGGATCGAACCCAGGCCACACGCATGCCAGGCGAGCATGCTACCACTTGAGCCACATCCCTAGCCCTTAAGTTTCTTTTTCTTGACAGTTTATAAGTTTCTGTTCTGAGTCCTAGAACCAAAATGGAGTTACCTGATGTTCAGGTAGGTACCTAAGTCCAGTAGGTCAAAGGTCACTGTAATGGACAAGCCTTTAAATATTTAAGTCAGGTGGATAGAATTAAGTAGTCCTTGAGACCGGTACAATCAATTGTTCTAATCTGTGCTAGAAAAGTTATACAAGTTAATATAGCAATTTTATGTTGCTCTGTTTTTGAATGAAGGTAGCTATTTGAAGACTTTATCCAGAAAGAACAGGGATTTATTTCAATTTCCCATGTGCTCTTTTCCTAAAATGATCTGCTAGAAGGAATCCTAATTGCTATTTACATAAGGATAACTCACTGGGATAAAGAAAAAAAATAAAGGAAATTCTCCTCATTTTAAAATCTAGTCCTTTTTTTTTTTGAAAAAAAAATAAAATTCAACAATAAATCTAGCCCTTTAACATTTATTTTACAGAAATATTATTAGTAGTAATAGGTGTTAATTTATAAATTATTTATTTATTTATTTATTTATCAGTGTAAGGAATGGTAAGAAACTGACAGGTTGGAGACTAATGAACTAACTCAGTACAGTATGGGGTTTGAGATTAGATTCTAGAACAGAATAAGGAATCACGGGGAAACAGTGCATTAATGGGTAAAATGCACATAAAGTCTGTAATCTGTAGTTTAATAACATTGTACCAATGCTGACTTCTTGATTTGATCATTATACTAGGGCTAGAAAAAAATTTAACAATAGAGGAAGCAGGGAGAAGGGTATATGTGAAATCTCTGCTGTTTGCAACTTTTGTATATGTCTGAAATGACTTCGGAATAAAAGGTCAAAGGAAAAATAATTTGATCTACTGACTTAGAAGACTGAAGAATAAAGCTGAGAAGGTGTGAATGTGTGGCATATTGTATTATACACTCAGAACTTACTTTCTGAGAAGTTGACTCAGGATTTTATTTGCGAGATTTTAATGATGTGACAGTCAACTGTAACAACAAGGGTCCGTGCTATACTCACAATGCCAGCCAGCAGATTGTCCAAATTAATGCCTGATTGCTTTTATAGCAGATGTGTCTTTCTAGTCAAACTTATTCACTTGGTCTGAAACAGGAAATGTGTGCTTCCCATGACCTGCTGGGTTTTTTAAAATATTTTTTTTAGTTGTAGTTGGACATTTATTTATTTTTATGTGGTGCTGAGGATCAAACCCAGTGCCTCACCCATGTTCTACCACTGAGCCACAACCCCAGCCCCTGCACTCCAGTTTTGTTGAGGGTCCTGCCTGGGTCCACCTCTTGACTTTTGACAGCGGGGATAGCACAGACTTTCAAGTATCGATTGCTTTGACAGTTCTAGGTTCCCTTTGCCCATGCTGAGCAGTTCTAATTGGATTCTCAATCATTTTCACAGGTTTTGTGGTTAGGAGGTGTTGTTCATATCTTTCAGAATCTGGTCTGTGAAAAGACCAAATGTCTCTCACTTCCTCTTATCAAGGTTATTTCCTGCTTGCATTTTCTTGCAGATAACAGGTAGTTTGGTAGAATGTGACATATCC